TTTCACACTTTTATCTACATATACTACAAATTTGCTATATTCATTTTATAGCAGCAAAAAAAAATCTACTAAAATTTATCTTTTTTTGCAATGTACACACCGAAAAAAATTACGTTGAAACTACCGTAATGTATGGTCATGACATTTTTGGTAAATGAAAAATATACGGTATTTAAACTATTCATTTAGTTTTTATTTTCCGTTCATATGGTAACGGCTTACCGGAAATTTTGGTTTTTAAAATTATAGTTCTTACTACCTCACATTCAGTAAATAATGCAAAATAGTAAAGTAAATTGAACCAAATAAATGGATTTTATGATAATAACATATTATGATAAAATTCCCAAATTTTATCACATTTTTCGTATTTTATTGCATATAATAATACCATATTTTCTTGTTAATTTTACCAAAATCATTACAAAGTGCTTCGATCAAAATCACCGAGTTTTTTGGTACTCCCATAAACCCAGAAACACAGTAAATTTTGCTGGTAGTTTTGGTATTAAAATATGCTCACATATACTGCGCATGTATCTATAGAAATGCTACATAAAAGTTTTGAGACATGTGATCTTTAAAACATGTTCTTTTAAGTAATAATTTGATTTTGATAGTTGCGTATACATAATATGCGTATACATTTTAATACATATTTGCAATACGTAACATTTACATTGTGTTTTAACTTATACATATACGCAATACATAACGTTGCGTAAACGCATTTTAAAAATTGTTCAAGTAAAATTATGTGCCCCAGTTTTCGTTTTCTTTAATATTATTTTGATTCTTGTAACTTTTGGAGTTATAGATGTCAGTAGAACGGGGAGGAAATTTTTATCGGTAGAATCTGAAATTCCAAAATGAAAAATTGATTTCTAGAAACCGAACAACCATTAAACTTTTTGACCTGAAATGTTTCACTAATATTTTTGACAGTTCTATTTTTTTTTCTAGTTTATTTAATCGTGACACCATTTTTCATGTTTAGTACATCATTTTTATTCTTCCATCTTTTTGTCTTTTGAAGGATGCATTCTAGTTTTCTTACAAGGAATATTTCGAAATTTGAAAAAATTAAATACAGTTTTTTAGTCATTCTCCAAAAGAATGTTTTTTACATGGAACAAAAACCTTAAAAAAATTAATATAATACACATATTTCCTATTTCCTCCTTCTTTAGAAGATTTTTATGAAATTTTTACAAGTGCTAATGAAATATTTGTAAAATAGTAGTTAAGGAAATTTTAATAATATCCTATTCCTATCATAGTGTGTTGATACGTTTACTGCAAAATATGTATACAACTTATGTCACGTGGTAGTATGTTTCTGTATTTTGCACATTTAAAATTTTTTTAAAAATAAAACGTTTGACTCAATGAGTAAAGCAATTGATGAGTTATTTCAAAATTTCAAAGAAAGAATTTTAAAGAGTTCTTGAAAGTTTAATAATTTCTGATTAACACTATGTGTATGACACGTTAATACGCTTAACACAAAATATATATTTAACTTGTGCAAAGCGGTAATATATTTTTAAATTTTTGGCATTGGTGCATATTTATAATTTAGTTGTAAATAAAACGCCTAGTGTAAATGTATAAAGCAAGTGATGAAAAAGATACTTTAAAACTTTAAAGAATTTATGAAAGTTTAATAATCTATTATATGTGTTACTCGTTGCCACACTGATCTAAAAACATTGTAACTTGTGTCACTTTGTAATATGTATGAATGTTGTGTAATTTGCATGGATATTGTACATATTTAAAATCTTGTTGTAAATAAAACATTTGACTCTAATGTTGAAGCATAAAGCAAATGATGAAAGAGTTGTTTCAAAATTTTGAAGAAACAATTATAAAGAATTTATGAAAGTTTAATAATCTCATACTTTTAAACATATTATGTGTGGAACATGTTGATACGAGCATCGCAAAATATATATGTAACTTGTGTCACGTGGTAACGTGTTTTAATGTTTTGGTGTTTTATACAAATTTATACAAATAAATGTTTGATACAAATAAAATGTTTGACTCGAACGTTAATGCTATGCTTAAAACAAGTAAGGAAAGAATTTTTTCAAAATCTTTAAAAGAGAATTTTAAGGAATCTATGAAAGTTTTATAATCTCCCATTAACACATTACATGTGTGTCATGTTTGAGCGCTAATTTTATATATATATANCTAAATATATACAAACACCAAAATATAAGAACATATTACCGCGGGACACAAGTTATACATGCATATCTATCCATATATATATATATATATATATATATATATATATATATATAGATGGATAGATATGCATGTATAACTTGTGTCCCGCGGTAATATGTTCTTATATTTTGGTGTTTGTATATATTTAGAATATAGTTGTGAATAAGACGTTTTACTTTAATGTTAATGTATAAAGCAAGCGTTGAAAGAGTTATTTCAAAATTTAAAATAATTTTTTAAAGTTTAATGATCGCTTATTCTTGACACAGTTATGTTTATGTCACAATGACTTGCTAATCGCAAAATATGCATGTCACTCGTGTTTCGTGGGAATACATTTTAATATTTTTTTATCTATTTAAAATCCAGTCGCAAGTAATACAATAGTCGTTAGGCAAGTAATGCAAGTAACGTGTATCGTTAATGAAGTAATAAAAGAGTTATTTCAAAATACTCAGAGAAAATTTCATTTCTTTTTATTAAATTAATTTTGAATTTCATCTAAAATTTGATTAAAATCAAGCATATATTCCAAAATAAGTTTTTTTATTATTAATAATATTGCTGTTTTAAATTCCCATCATTATTTAAGTTGTGTTTCATTATTTATTTGAAATTGAAATTCAAAACAAATAAATATCTTCAAATTTGCTAATAAATTGTTATTGTTTTGATTTAACGGCCTTTCCATATTGAGTAAAGGTCCTGAATCAACAAATATAGTATTTGATTACTTGTCAAGAGTGGTTACTCGTGATATCGATTCTTTCTATCACATAAACGTTACATTTTACCTATAATTGTTACTTTGGACGGTGATGTGAGCGCCACCTAGCAGATCACGACTTTAAGCAGTGTCACAGAGTGTCTGTTTTTGTAGTTATAAATATTAATCATTTAGTCAGAGCGTTTTTTTATTATTTAATTAGTTTTTTTCTAGTATATTAATTGACGAAGTCTACTTAGTAGCCTTCATAAGATTGTTGATTGATGAGTAAATAGTTGTATTCGGAATATAAAGATGAATTTAAACTTTGTTTCTAAATTAAAAATTTATTCTTCAACTTGAACTTGCACTTCATTATTGTAATCATTAAGTTATAAATATGCTACACGGGTTTAGTTACAGAATAAAATATTATGCTTTATAAAACAACGTCTAATTCTTAAAGGTCTTTAAAAAAAAAAGGTTTTTTGTCAAATCAGTTGATTCTTTTTTTCGTAATGCTCGCGTACTGAGAAAAAATATGATCTAGAATGTGATAAAATTTGCCGTATTGTTAGTTCTGTGGGAAATCAAAATGCTCGGTAATTTTTACCGAAACGCATTGATAATGTTTTTGGTAAAAATGACAGTATAATATGGTTTTAATATGTGATAAAATTAATATATGATGAAATTTGGTAAAATTTGTTTTTTGGTTTAATTAATTAAAATTAAGTTGCGCTTTTTCTAACCTGAAATGTTATTACCATAGAGTACGGTAATTTATTTTAACGTACTTTTTTTCTCCATGAGTACTTATTTCAATTGCATTAGTACAGAAGCAAATGTATCAGTACACTTTATGCAATAAAATATAATGATTTTCTGAACACTATTGCTACTAGAGCTGCGGAGTCAGAGTCGAAACATTTTTTGCGAAAGTCGAAAAAATTTGCTCGACTCTTGTTAGTTAAATGCTAGTTAATAAAAGTTATTAAAGTGGAAAATAAGAGATTTTTATCTTGTAAAAAATATTTAGACAATTATTTAAAATTGTGTAAACAAAAACATTACTCGAATAATTCTTGTGACAATTATTTAAATTATCACTTTTCACGAAAATAATGTATTTATATTTCAAAAGTTTTTGAGCCTATGCGCAACTGAACTATTAAAAAGACAAGAAAAGTTATTGAAATTGTTGAAAACTAGATAATAAATAATGATTTATTAATGAGTTATTTTTTTAATTTTTAAAAAAAATATTGTTTAGCTAAGTTATTAAGCTAATTAAAAATGCAAATGAATTGAATATATCACTTGAAATATTTTCCCAATAAATAAATATTCACAAAAAAAAATTTTTTTTGTTATTAGGTGTTTTATATATGTATGAATGTGAGTGTGAATATTGATATCTAATAAGTTTCTTATAATGGTTTAGCACAATTTAAATATTTTTTAGAAAAATTTATATTAATTAAAATTTATTGCTTTAGCTGTTATGGTTATAATATAAAATAAAATTTTAACTTACTTTAATCGTACTGAAAAAAGAAAAGAAAAGAAATGCATAGTTTGAAATTAACAATTGCTAAATAATAATATTAATACTTTCTTGGCATTTGGTGGAAATGCTTTTTTGTGGTTATTATTGTATTGTAAACAGAAATAAGAATTTTCTTATTTTACCAGTAAATTAATTTTTTTAGACATTTTTTTTAACATTTTGGGCATTTTTAATAGTTTAATAATATATATTTGTAGATTATTGTATCATTAAATTAAAAAAAATCTATTTCTTTTATTAAATGCATGATATATTGAAAGCACATATTAAATGTTTTATATTAGCAAATACATTATATGCTTACGTGATAAGCATGCGATAAGCATTTAATTGAAGTGCATTAATCTGACATCATTTTTACGCATAATTATTGCGCGCATTTGTGCAATATATTTGTAGGAACATAACTATAGTTTTACCTGAATAACCACAAAATATTTTAAATTTTAGTTCATCACTAACAGATTTTATTTTCCTTTTTAGAATCTTTTGCTGAGCTTTTCTCTTTATTCAACCAAAGGGTAATGAAAATAAGTATTTCAAGGTAATTACAATTTTTATGCTTATTTCCTAAATGTTAAATAAATGTAATAGCTTTAATTATACATCAAATATTGAAACACACTTGAAAAAAAAAGGAAGAAATCTTTAAATTATGAAATCATTCTGCTTAAATATTTACCTCAGCAATCATTTCAGTATGTTCACTTTTTATAACCATAGTTGAACAGCCAATCCAATTTTAGGTTTACGACTACTAATCTTCAATTCTGTAGCCTTGTAATTTTGAACCCAATCCAGAAGACAAGGGAGCTCCTGGATCAGGTATTGGGAGAAATCAGCCTTAGTGAAAAACTTTTTGATGCAACTAGCCCTCATTTGCGTTACATAAAAAGAAAAAAACCACTAAAACCTCCCACGGTTAGCCAGACGGCAAGGAGACTCTAACCCATGACTCGTCTACCACTGAGGATATTTTACGTTAGCACTGTGGTCGATGTGAGCCAGGTGTAGAGTTCGTATCAATTAGCCACGGCTGGGATTCGAACCCGGTTCACCTCAATGAAAGGCGGAAGTTCTATCCCCTGAGCCACCACGGCTCTAGTATGATTACTCGAAGGAAGTTGGAATTTCTAAATTGTAATTATATTCAGCTTAAATATTTGCTTCAATCCATTCAATATACAGGGTGTTTATAAAGTTCCGGACCCATTTTGATGTTTAATAACTCATAAAATAATGAAGATAGATTAAAATTAATAGCATAAGTGGTTAGATAGACTCAAAAAGTTTCATGACCCTTGTCAAGTAACTTCCACGTGTGCCCCCTTCGTCGCACGGAGCATACCAAGTCAATAGTCAATTTCACGCCAGGTAGCGGCAAGCATGTCGGCATTCACAGAGGCTATTGCGGTTGTAATTCTGGCTTTTAGGTCATCAATGTTCGACACGATCCTCCTGTAAACATTGTCCCTTATAAATCCCCAAAGAAAAAAGTCCAGCGGCGTTATATCAAGTGACCTGGTGGCCAAGGAATTGGACCTCCTCGCTCAATCCATCTTCCTGGATGCATTCTCTTTAATATCAGCTCGAATAAATCATCACATATAAAAGTACTACATAGAACAAACACATCAAAAGTAAACATAAAGTACTACATAGAACAAACATAGCATTGCAGTAGTTGCCAAAAACAAAAGAGAGAAAAATGCAATTAATAAGCAGACGATATTTAGAAAAGTACAGATATTTAGACAAGAAAATGAAATTATCTGAAATTCACCACACGCGCAGATGATATTTACAAAAGTAAAGATATTCAAAACTGAAAAAGAAAATATATGAGTTATTCCATCAGTAAATGCCATAAGTTTGTTTATATCTTCATTATTTTATGAGTTATTAAACATCAAAATGGGTCCGGGAATTTATAAACACCCTGTATTTACCTTTTTTTTAATGCAGAAATGAGACACTGAATAAAAAAAAATATTAAAAATAGTAGTAACGTATTTTTTTACAATCAATTTTGGTGTCTTTATAATAATCAAACTTAGTATAATTGAAAATAATCATAAGTCACAAATTACGCATTTGAGTTTTTGATTCATTTCACTTGTGTTCAAAACATGCTGTTAATTTTAGATGCATTGAAATTATTTGAGTAAATTAATTTTTAACAAATAATTGCTAAATTATTTCGTAAAAAGTAAATAATTTCACAAAATCTAATACAATTGGTGAATCTTATTTATTGACTTTTTTTCATTAAATGGCTTGACCGTGAGCATTTATTTCAATTTTAAAAAATCCCACTGTAAAAAAGTAATTATAAATTCAACAAAAAAATGAAAAAATATATTTTTGTCAGAAAAAAAACTATTTAAAAATAAATACAGATTTTTTTCCCTTTTTAATCGTTATCCTCGAGCTACAAAAAAAAACCCGTTATAGACTTTCTCCTTATATTTAAAGCTGTTTTTCACAAAACAGTTTTTCTCTGTTTTTCCCTCTAATCATAAACGGATTAAAACTATCGATTCAAATTCTAGTTTTTGCCCTGCAGTTTTGCTTACCGTACGATTACTCTTCCTTTTTTTTCAAATAATGTTTCGATTATTTTCTGTTCTTACTCTTACTGAATTCTGACATTTCTTCTAAATTTTATGGATCAAAACCATAAAATTTCAGAAATTATTCCATGATTTTGCACATCGTATGAATAAAATTGCGATTCGACTTCATTTTCTGATTGATACTCTACCTAATTCTTTGACTGTTTACCTTATAATTTAACTTTTTGAAAAATTATATCTATCTAAATGAACTTTTCGAAAAATTATATCTATCTAAATAAACTTTTCGAAAAATTATATCTATATCAAAAATTATATCTATGAAAATTATATCTATCTAAATGAACTTTTCGAAAAATTATATCTATATAAAGATTATATCTATGAAAATTATATCTATCTATCTACAATGCTCTTGCCTCCTAATAAGTTTTTCCGGATTCGAAACTCAGTGTTGACTGGTCATGCGAATTCTACTATCGGCTCGCTCTCCTAATTTTAGTTACTTTTATAGATTTTTTTTTTTGCTAAAATAACAGAGTACAAAATAACGGTGTTTGTTTGTTAAAATAACAGCACTTACCTTATAAAACAGGTGCTTTTTTTTAAAAAAAAAAAAAACAGTATTTTTTGAGAATAAAATTTTAAACTGCCTCACTGGCTTTATACTGGCATACAGATTTTTATTTACAGAGCACGAACATCTTTATATTTTTTCCGAAGAATAAAAACATAATTTTTGTGATCGACATTTATTGTTATTTCAATTTTTTTTTTCATTGTTTTACATTTTAAAATGAATAAAAGACTTTAGAAAATCCTTCTAAACCTGCTCCGTTACATTGTTACTCAATACGTTAGTTGAACGATTATTTAACCAATATTTACGCATCGTTAAAAGTAGTACTGTTATTTTAGTGTGATTGATTTGTCTGTCTATCTTCAAAGAAAACAACGCAATCTTTCATTTGTGTGAAGAACACATCAAACTACAAAGTGGCATGCCATTTTTTTTTCCTCGTGTGGGTTGTAGTTTAACACATCCCAGCATCCACTCCTAATTTTCACCTAGAACTCAGATGAACTGGAGTACCCCGAGAGAGTGGTAGTTGTTTTGGGATTTAGCCAATAATCCTAAAAATAGGCTGAATCATATATTCTCCGTCATCGCACTGTTTTAACCACGTGAGAGCAACATTGACTTCATACCCCGTGGCTACAGTCCAATTGCTAGAATTATTCCTCCGAAACTGTCTAAGATGATTTCAAGTTAAAAAAATGAAATCCTAAAGGAAAATAGATCAAGAAAGATGTCTTTGCGGGTGAACGCACGAATATCTTCTCTAGAAAACCGCAGCTGTGGATTTTTATCTCCAGGTGTGGTTAAATAATCTTGCACATTTCATTGAGCTATGGTTAAACTTTTGTTTTTCTCGCCTATCAATTTGTCTAGATAGTTAAATTGGCGGTTCAACATGTTCAAGGAAGAAATTTGAATTCTGAAGCAAAGGAAAAACTTATTAAACAGATATAAAGTTTAAGGACATATTAACTATCAATCTTTTTTAAACATGATTAAGGATGAGTTGTCGTAGATGCGTATAATTACACGTATTTTTCCCTTGTCAATCGATTCATTACATCAAATATTCTGTAAACTATGATGGCTGGTAGTATTGGTTAAAGTGTAATTAAATATTAACTACATTTTAACCTAAAAACTATGCTTCGATTAAAATTACATTATAGAGGTCATTTGCAATGTGTTAATTTCCTTTAAAAGTTTTATTTTTTATTTTTGTTGTGTTTTAATAACTCTAACGTAACGGGATTTTTTTTTGTATTGCATGCATTGCATGTATTGTATTGTATTTTTTGTATTTTTTTCCCTCGTCAATCAATTCATTACATCAAATATTCTGTAAACTATGATGGCTGGTCGTATTGGTTAAAGTGTAATTAAATATTAACTACATTTTAACATAAAAACTATGCTTCGATTAAAATTACATTATAGAGGTCATTTGCAATGTGTTAATTTCCTTAAAAAGTTTTATTTTTTATTTTTGTTGTGTTTTAATAACTCTAACGTAACGGAATTTTTTTTGTATTGCATGCATTGCATGTATTGTATTGTATTTTTTGTATTTTTTTCCCTCGTCAATCAATTCATTACATCAAATATTCTGTAAACTATGATGACTGGTCGTATTGGTTAAAGTGTAATTAAATATTAACTACATTTTAACCTAAAAACTATGCTTCGATTAAAATTACATTATAGAGGTCATTTGCAATGTGTTAATTTCCTTTAAAAGTTTTAGCTTTTTTTTTTGTTGTGTTTTAATAACTCTAACTTAACGGAATTTTTTTTGTATTGCATTAAGTGTAAAAGCGATTATCTTTTCATTTATGAAAAAGTTGATAATGGTTGCGTGTTTTAAAGGAAGCATATGTAATGTAAAGCGTTTAAATTTTGTTAATAAAAATACTTTTTAACCATGAACCTTATACGGAAAATAATTATGGTAAACTTACCGCATTTTATGGTAATGGTATTTCTAGTAAAAAAAATTAAAAAATAATCATATTTCTGTTTAATGAAACCAAACTATACGGTATTTAAACGATTAATTTGGTAATTTAATTGTTCATATGATATTGTTTTACCGGAAATTCTGGCTTTCAAAATTGTAGTTCTTATTACCACACATATAGAAAAAAATGCAAAAGTAAAAAATAAATTCAAACGAATAAATTACTCTTATGCCATGCTCTAAGGTATCATAATAAAATTTCCCAATTCTACCACCTTTGCCAAATTTTATCACAGATTATTAAACCATATTTTATNATTCATTACATCAAATATTCTGTAAACTATGATGGCTGGTCGTATTGGTTAAAGTGTAATTAAATATTAACTACATTTTAACCTAAAAACTATGCTTCGATTAAAATTACATTA